TTTGAGAAAAATGTAATCTGACTCCATAAATCACATAATTGTTCGACTAAAAAACTACACTTCCACTAACAATAAATGAAGTTCCCCTTTAAACACAGCCCCGGTCTTCTGACGGGGTCTATCTATGTACTGGCTGGAAAATGTTGGGCCTGTCTCTGTCGCTCTGTCACTGTTCTCCCGCTAACAGTCACTCTCTAGTTCTGCTGGGTTCTTGTTGACTTCTTCACTGGTTTGAGACAAGCGACCCTATCGGACACCTCCCTTTGTAGCCAGACTTCACCACAGCAGAAGCGAGTTTCTGTTTTTAGGTCTCAACAGCTCCACGTCAGGTGTATCGCCGCCCCTTGAACTGCAGTCGGTGTAAACAGGAGGATTTGGTATGGATCCTCCGTCTTGGGCGAGTACTAGGTTTCCGTCTTCATATTTTTGGGTGTAAACCCGTCGTCTTGACCTCACTAGCTGTGTGGACACAATAGTTTTCTGTGTGGGGGAACAACATCACTCGTAATCTCTTTCCTTCTCATAATTACAAAAATAGTCTGCTAAATGTTCTATTCTGTGGATGCTTTATGTATAAATGCAAATGCTACTCTCGATTCTGTTTTTACATTAAACATTAAACCTCTCCCTTCTGTGGTGACATATATGGCTCAATGTAGCTGGATTTCAAAATACCCTTGTGCTGAAGATGCATCACCTGGTGGTCTGGCCCTCTGAGCTTCCTCATTGTTGTGGTTGATACCAGGGTGTCAGTGGCATTTGGGTCATGTTTGGCAATGCTGTTCGTCTTTGACATCCCTGAGACCCCCTGCTTCTGTCGTAATCATGGAAACCTCCCCCAGGGTAACTACATGGAGGGCCATTGTTTGGTGCATGTTGCCTTAGTAGTTGCGGGCAATCTCTGGTCCAATGGCCCATTTGGTTGCAATGGTAACATCCCTCAAACCGTAAACGTCTTCTGCCTGTGCCTCCTTGGAAACCTCCTGGTTGTTGGTTCTGCATCTGATTCTCTGGCACTATCTGAGATTTAACTGTTTGAGGTGTCTGCTCTGCATTCTCTGGTTCTTCCTGAGCTTGAATTGTTGGAGGTGTCTGCCCTGCCTTCTCTGGAAGTTCCCCCTCCCTTCTCCTTGTCTTGTTCCTACAAGCTACGGTGTCTTGTTTTTTCTGCTATGTCTTCCCTCACTGGCGGGTCTGCTACTCGGACCACATTTATGCTGTGTGCCAATAGGCTGGCATATTCCAGATGGAGTATCAGACTTGTAACTCTTATAAATCTTTCTTCATCTTCACTCCAGATAGTTCTTTTAATTGGAAAGGTTAAAGCATCTGATCAGATTATTACCCTTTCCTTGATATCTGCGGTTGAGCCTGGCTCTGCGTCTAGTCTCAATTTAGTTTCTTTTGGTGACATGTTCTCTAACTATTCGAATGAATATTATTAAGTTATCAAAGATTGAAACACTAATCCTCCGACTAGCACCTTCGTTCCTGATAAATAATATCCTATGTCATCCGAACTTAACTTTAAATCTGGGTAGGTTTTTTTTGTTTTTTTTATGATTTAAGTTTTTTTTTTTTTTTTTTTTGTAAAATATTAATAAATTAAAAGATAACATTTTTTGGAAATTTTAAAATAAAAATTGTACAGTGTATCGTTTTTGACTTTGAGATAAGAAAATCGAAGTCTTGTGAAAATCTAAATCTACTGTGTACAGTGCATACTGAAATGTATGGAACTATGTAAATGTCATAATTTGTGTTAGATTTAATCAATTGGTGTTTGAATATTCTACAGTCTAGTTTGAAAGTCTATGATGTAAAGTTTCTCATATGTTAATTAGAAACCACTTTGTAATTCTGTCCCGGCGAATGTGTTCATCAATAACACTCAAAATTAAGCTTCAAAATGTTATAATATCTTTGTAATAATTCTGTATTACCAGCAGAGTGCGCTGTTGTAATTTCCAGCTTAATCCACTAGGGATAGCTGTTGCAAAACTGACCTCTTTTTAACAAGAAGAAGCTTATTTCCTTAAAATGGGAAGAAAATGTGAATATGGTTAAACAACACAGCACATAACCGCCAAAACACACTTGCAAACAAGAATATCTCAAATAAACCGCCAATACACACTTGCAAACAAGAATATCTCAAATAAACCGCCAATACACACTTGCAAACAAGAATATCTCAAATAAACCGCCAATACGCACTTGCAAACAACAATATTTTCAAAACCAGACTCCTACAAATACCAAACTTCCACGGTAAGATAACCTGTCTATTTTATAGTTCCAACTTCTGCCAATAAATATGATTTGTCCTTCTCAATATGGAGTGCCTAGCCTCATGTGAGTGGGACTGTGTGTCAAAACAAACAGAGTACTTTCAATTAGCATTTCACGAAATGGCGACTGCCGTGTGGCTTATTTTCAGCATGAGGACAAGACAAGATGGCAACTGATTTTCCAACCTTTGACCTGAAGAACAAAGGGATTTGAAAACACCTCGTGGCTCTCAGAGGGGAGTTTAAATAATGGCGGGGTGTAATCTTGTCAAGAAAATTGAACACAAAACAACACTGCAGTTTAAAATAACATTTCTATCTAGTTTACTATGAAAAAAATGGGCTTTATCTTATTGATATCATCACTTAAAGTTAGGAACCCTTACGCATAAGCTATAAACCTATCTACGTATTATTTGACTTTATAGTCCACTATTGGTCAACTGCTGCCATTTCGACACGCTAGGTGGGAGTATTATGGTAACTTATCAGCGACTATTAAATGACCGTCGTCAATTTAACGTAATGCTGTTGTAACTCCACATCTCGTATTCCACCCGTAATATCTTGGTTGAAACTAGAACAGTTATGACCACTGATAAAGCTTACACCTTAATCAAGCCTTTCCTCAAAAGGACTTTTTTAAAACAGTTCTCAACTGTTTTCGACTAGCACTGTCTTCAGTTACTCAACCCTAAGTTGATTCGCTATGCCTTGTTTGTTTTCAATTACTTGATCCTTAATCAATTCGCTATGTCCCACAGATCTTAACAATAATCGTTAAATGGACTTATATATCCTTACGTCATAGGCTAATTTAACTACTGACGTAACAAGGGACACCTACATGAAAACACAACAAGACACCTACCCAAAGTACAATGGCCACACACATTTATATTTTAAAATACTACACACACAAATTAATAGCATGCAGGGTTAGATATAAGAAAAAAAGAAATTGGAACTCACCCTGATTGTGAAAATGCAACGCCATGTGTTATGGAATTCTTATTGTTATAAATTTGGTTGTTTTAACATTAAATACACAGCTATTTTCAGGATCCGCTGGCCTCCGTCCAACACAAACCTATTTTGTACTGCATAAACTATGAAGAATTTGATTTAACAGGTTTCCTCTTACCAAGTATTCGAGCTCGTTGTGTCGAACGGAAGCCGCGTCTCCGGAAAACAGCTGGTTGTGTAGTCTCTTCTGTCCAACGAGAATCACGTCGCTGAACACCAATTGTTAACTGTGATGGTTATTCTCGCGTCCAGGAAAGAGAAGCTTAAAAAGGAGACTAAATGGAGTCTCTGAGATGTTTTCAAATTGGTACTTTAATTAATAAAAGGCGTGGTACAGTCACAAACAGGATATTGTCCGACAGAAAAGCAGCTGTCTCTGGCCCTCGCTAGCAGAGAAAAGAGGCCGAACCGCTCAGGTGCTGCTCTTATATAGCTTCTGCAGGCTCCTCCCTGCGGGCCGGCCCTCCACATCTTAATGTCCGTTGTTACGTTTAAACAGAGGATTCAGGCATTGTACATTCAATACATACTTAAACACGCCTCTTCTCCTCATATTGTCTTTCATCACTTTTCCTTTAACACATTCTAAACGTTGTAGTTAATATTCTAAAAAATACAGAAAATACTTCACGGCTGGTTTGGTTTCTGGTCATTCCGGATGTTGTCACATCTTACCCACGTCTGTAAACAATAACTTTATTCAAATAAACTATACCTTCATTTAATATTCAGCAATAATAATACGTCTATAGTTGCAGTGTTAAAATCAGTAGGTTTCGGTGTGCATCACTCCATGTCATTTCGCTACTAAATTAACCTCTATAAGAAATGGTAAACTAGCCACATGCTAACCGGAGATGAAGGATTTTCAGAATAAAAGCTTAACTGGTTGTGCACAATAATTTTCTGGTTTTTCAGTATAAAACAGCATTTAAACTGAAGGTACATTTAAGGTACATTATGCCATCAAAACATTGATTTTAATTTCTAACAGGACCATCAACAAATGACTTTTCAATTACACAAGAACATTTTTCTTTTTAATAAATCGACAGCTTCCCGATCGAGTGAATGTGAAGCAAATCCACGCTAGAGCATGCATTTGTTGAACACACCTCTCTTTATTGCATTTTAATACTTTAAATATTTTATATTAATAATTTGATGGAAAAATGTGCTTATTTCTTCAATACCTTCCAGGTCATGTGACCGATTCACTCAAAATCAATGTTGGGTCAAAGAACTACACCGGCTGCATAGGACACACCTCTTTTTATTGCATTTTAATACTTTAAATATTTTTATATTAATATTTTTGATGGAAAAATGAGCTTATTTCTTCAATACCTTCCAGGTCATGTGACCGATTTACTCAAAATCAATGTTGGGTCAAATAACTACACTGGCTGCATAGGACACACCTCTTTGTATTGCATTTTAATACTTTAAATATTTTTATATTAATAATTGTATGTGAAAATGAGCTTATTTCTTCAATAACTAATGACTCAAAATCACTTTATGAATTGAATACAAGTCTGTACACAATAGAAACAGCTCTTTATATCGGATAATATTACATCCTCTATTTAATATTAATATTTATATTAAAAAATTCAGGTTTTTTTCTAGAGCTTCCCTGTCATGTGACCCAGTGATTAATGATCAGAAAGTAATACAAACAAGGCTACACAGGACACATGTTTTACTAATCGTCATCATTGAGCACATTTCAAGTATTACTTGCACAAAGGACAATTCCAATATCCTGTCTCTGCCTTTTTAAAGTCTCTGCTGTCCATTGCCAGGCACTGGGCATGGTACCATCGTTCACAGTCATCACACTGAACCTGTTGAAGTGAAAGAAATAGTGTATTTATATATTTGTACCTTAGATTACCATTCAGTTGTCTTAATACTTAAGTGTTAGTGAGGAATCAGCTGACACAATCATCTGCTCCTTAAAACCCACTGCCTGTGTTTTAACATGCTCTATTGTTTGTTTGTTTTGTTTGTTTTTTTATTGTTTCTATCTTTTACATTTTTTTTATTTAAGTATTCCATTAATGTGTGTTGCATGTTTTAAATGTATTGTATTTAGTTGTTTAAAATGAATTATGTGTTTGAGGTTGACTTTTAAAATCTGTCCAGGGACTGCAGATGAAAAATAGCCTCTTGGCTAACTCTGGCACAGTTACAGAAATGTTCATTAATGTGCACTGTCCCTGTTAAATAAATGAATACATAAATGTATACATGACAATTCCACATTTTCTTCACAACAGCTCACCCAGTCTGTGATGGGAGATCCAGATCCTGGAGGCCTTAAGGCAGCACACATAGCACAATAAGTGTGCTCATCAAAGACTGAAACAAGATAACAATACATGTATGTCAGCTTCTATATACACATACATATACATACATACATATATATATACATACAGACACCCATATATATATATACACATATTCATATTTATTTACCTGATGCCTCAAGGATTTCGAGAGCCAGTTCTCTCCTCTCCCGTTTCATGTATTTCTTCGAACACTCGAAATTCACATTCGGGATCAGAGGGAAGGACTCCATGACTGCCTTTGCCATCTAAACAAACAACACTTATGTTATGGAGGTTTTTCTTCTTTATTGTATAGTAATACAGATACAGACACAAACATGAGACACATTATAGAAGACATCCACCCTTGACTAGAATGCCTCCCAAAACCTTTGAGTATTGATATGGACCGGTCCTATTATTGGGATTTTGAGATATTTGGAAGCAAAGTTTTGTCAATGAAACTTTCTGTGTTCAAGTGAATACTACATTAGTATTAAATAACTGTTAATTTAAGTTCAGCAATGTTGTGTCATAATCCAATTGTTGTCAGTTGTGAAAAATACAATAAACAACAACATGATATCGGCAATATACTGTATATTGTCCATTGGCCAACCTGCCTGCTAAATATAATGGGGATCAGCATCGGCCTTTAAAAAACCTTTATCGGTCAACAACTACTTTTGACAGCTTTTTTAATCCGCCCTTGCATTAAACTGTCTTTCACATTAAAAACTCTGCTTGTTAACTGGATGAAAACAGAATCTCTTCAGCTCACCTTCACAACAACGACACCACAGCTACATCCATCCGTTTGAAGTGGGTGGCCCATAACGCCTCCCTTCCACTTAACATCCACCCAGTCTGTTATGCTGTGGCGTGTCCTCCTCATCCTGAAGTACTCTCTGAGAAAGGATAATGTTAACACACTTTACATTTCTAATGATGTGGCTCCTAAAGATAATGTAAGAGAAATTCATACTGTTTGTATTCAGCATATGACCATTTATTTATATAAGAGGCAGCCACAGGTCAGCTATAGATATCACTGTCTGAACACAGACTGTATCACACTGTTCAAAATGCTTTCAATGCTGTGTGTGAGTATCAATGTAACTAAATGTGACACATTTTTTACGTTTAAATATAGTTTTTACTTGAATTTTCAAATATCTATTGCATTTTGATTGACTGTATTCTTTTGGCAGCATGTTCGGAGTCATCAAGCTCTTTGATGCTTTGAGCTGGATCCACCAGGAATACGGTGCTGGTTTTGGCATGAATGTACTGTGAGAGAACAAAACAAGTAAAAGCACTTTTCATCAAAAAATATTTTTGGCTTCACTCTGTAAGTCTTGTGCTTTAACAGAAATAATACAAACCAGCAACTTCCAGTGGTTGTTGTTGACAAGTACAAAGGACAGGACAGCTTCATAGTTGTCAAAGTTGACCTATAATGGCATCAAATAAAGGATTAAAACAAACTTGAAGGTAAAAATAACAACAACATTAGTCTGACAATGATGTTCTTGTGCCATTCATTTGTTGTGCTTAAAACAAGTGTTGGTATGGGAATTCAATAGTAAGTAGATTTATCAGGTGATTTAACTAATGAGTATAGTTTCAGAGAGGATAAAGTAAAATAATCTCAGCTAATTTCCTATTTAAGACCTCAGCCAATGCTTCACTCCATGTACCTAATGTGTGAGTGTGAGCCCACAAATCAAATCCACACCTACTTCCCCCTACAGCATCACCATGCACAAACACAACACACCACACACATAAACATACACAGACCACACACATTACCTTCGGTAAACTGTGAGATATTAGCTGAGTTCTGTCCCCGAACAAAATGACACTTGCTGTGTAGTGATTTAGCAAGTACATTTTGTTCAGAACGGCAAATTTGTCGGCAGCAACATGAAACACGCCTTCAATTACCTGGCAAAAAAGATCATAACAATTTGCCAATTAATGCATATTCCCAGTTATACTGAACTTTCATTTCCTGCAACTTTGAGAATCTTGTGACTGACAAAAGTATCTAGACATTTTGGGGAGAAATCGTTAAATGCTAGATAAAGAAAATAACACAGTGTAGAGTGAAACTTCAGACACTTGAAACATGTAGTACCTCCCCTGTCAACCACTGGTGGGGTCGAAGTGAGCATAGCTCACAGTGGCGGATAAGCAACATGCGTCCTTTCATCTGTGAGGGGAGCACTGCCACGACCACCTCTGTGTCCTTTTTTTCCCACAGCCAGGTCAACTGCAAGTTAGGATTGAGGGGAAATAGATGCAGTCTGTTTAATATGGACTCTTGAGGAATCTTTTAACCCTCCGGTATCACTCTGGACATGTTTGTCCCGAGTGACTAATTAGGGTAGTGCACTTGAATGACACCAGAGGGTTAACAATCTTGAATGTTTGGGTGAAGGCCTTGTTTTTGTATATGCACCATCAAAGCTACATGCACAAAATATAATTAAACTGTCCATGTTTATGCATTTAACCTCAGTCCCTTTTAGAGTTTTCACTAAATGACATTAAACAGGCTGCTCAGGAACAGAAACTGTAATTGCAGTTTAAAGTCTGATTTGGAAATATAGTTTCCGTTATTAGTTTGTAAGCTGTATTTACATTTTTCATCTTCATATTCTCCCCCTACAACATGCACCTAATCATCTTGGGTTATAATACTTCATGTCCTTTGTCCTTCACCTCACTCTTTACCAATTTAGTCCATGCTTTACTTTCTGACAATATTTACTTATTCCATTGTTACAATTAAAATGCTGGAGAACAATTGACACACTTTGCACATAGTAAGTCTTAGAGAAACTCACATTTCCCTGTGCATCTTGTTCCTGTTGGTCCACTTTTCTTTTCTTCACCTTTGTGGCAGGTGGGCTCTTGGGGTTGGGTAGTGCTTTTGGTGGATTGAAGTACTTGGACTTGGACTTGGTGTGACCAGCAGAACTTTCCCGCGTGTTCCACTGTTCCTCGTGGTCATCATCTGGCCTGCTAGGATGCCCAAAGTTTTTGTCCAGAATATGCATTGGCAGATTGTGTTGCTCAATGTGCTCTACGTATCTTCCTTGTATTGAGGCATACATTTTGGAGACAAACTCAGCTGGTCTCAGGTACTTTTTTTTTAAAAGGATGGAGTGTTTGACCAACCCAAACCAGAGCTCAACATGGCAGTTGGTATCCCTGGTTTTATGACTTCCATCTTTTTTTGAGGTACCTTTTCTATGTCGCGACAGATCCCCAAGCAACCAACCACTCCACAATGGGAAGATCCCCATGTAGTTTTTGAACAGTGCATCAATGACACCAGGACAGAGGTAGTGGTTTTTTACCTGAACAGCATCGTCAGAGAGAATGTCACACTCTGCTTGGTCCCGCCTGACTTGAAAAGCTTGTGTAAAAGGGGACTTTCCAATAATGCTATGAGCATTTGTTTCCATTTTGCTTTCCTCCTCTCCCATTACATGTCCACTTTCCTCCAGTTTCAAGTCCCGAGTTTGCAAAATGCACTCGTCGAGGTACATTTTGCTCTGTTTCACCGAATGAGTGTACTCCTCTGCATCAAAAAGCACACACATATGATAAAAAACATTAAGGGCTTCCTGCATACTTGTGCAGTTCAGGATGTACGCAAAACAGAATGTTGCATATTCCTGTGTGCCTCTGTCTACAGTTTGTTTCCCAAATGCTTGTGACACAGCCTTCATGATATGAGCAGAGCACAGACGCAGCACAGTGAAGTTATCAGTTCAGTTTGTCCAGACACTATCTCAAATGCTCTGTCAAGGTACACTGACATATGTTCCCTGTTAAAAGACAGAAGCACACTGTTTATCAGAGCCCAACTATAATCTGTCTCAACCTGTGCTATCTTTCTTTTTGTTGTGTAAGACAACTTTCTTTTCAATCCCATGAGCCAATGGGAAATAGATGGAATGGCTGTTGGTGATCAGTTCTGTGACGGGCAAGGGAGGCTTATCCTTACCCATTCCGGGCAAAACCAAAGCATAATACAAGACCCGCTTATTTTGATCAGGAATGTTCTGTATCACGCTGCCTGTGGCATCAAGGTAGAGAGTCGTAGGTGTTGGCTTTTTCAAGTGCTCAGTCAATATCTTCATTCCAGCATCTGTGTAGAAATGTACAGCAAACGGATCAATTTGTAGGTGCTGAAGATAGCCTTTTGATGATGCATGACTGCTGCTCTCTTTGATTATTTTTTGAGTCAACATGAGTTCAAGCATCATGTCATCGTGGAGCCTTGCACTTTTCTTCACTTCAGAGGATATTTTCTTTAACACGTCTTTGGTGAGGCTTCTGCTTATGTTACCAGCCATTATTTCCTCTGGTGTCTGTCTTAACATAGTGTAATAATAATTACTGACACCACTGGTTAAGGCTTTGGAAATTGTTCCTCTTCTTGTGTATTTTGCTGGTCTAAATCGCCTTTGATTTGTATGGTGTATAACTTCACCAATGCGCATGACTTTAAAAATAATGTTGTTATCCGTTGACTTTGGCCTGTTCTTTTTTGAGAAACTGTAGACATCCATTAAATGTGCATTTTGCAGAGGCACAGAAAAATGGCGAATTCTTTTTACGGCTATCATTTGTCTTAACATGCTGGTATTTGAAAGCAAGTGTGCAGCATGGATTATTTTTCAAAAATTCTTGATATAATGTATCAGTCCAGGGGGGACGGAGTTTTTTTTTGCCATGTTTAGGTTTAATTTTGTTCCATTGTTTTCTTGTTATGGCAATTTTGAACTTTTTTGGCCCTGCTTTGCACTTTCTGTTCATTGTTGTTGTCATTTCGGTGGCTGTCTCTGTACTTTGTTGGTCTGACTCTTCTGTTTCTATCTCAGACTGTGGCTGTGTGTTACTTATTTCCCTGTCATCCTGACTTGTGTCCTCGTCTTCCTCACCCGTAGGTGCGCTGTAACACTGTTTCTTGATACTGTGCTGTCCATCTCTCCCTCTTTCACTGACATATTTTCCTAAATACAAACATTACAAAAGTACAAAATCTCATTTAATTACTGTATCTCTTATCGTAAGACTACAATGCAACTTTAAGCAATCTGCCATCCTTGGGTCAATTACAGTAAATTCTGTTAACATCCTACTGTGATGCAGTATTTAATTAAATAAGCACATTAACCCTTATGCCTCCCTAAGGAAATGTATTATCCATGCCACTGTTTAATTTTGGAGCATTCTGATTGTGTTAAGAATATGGCACGACATTTGGTAAAGATGTGTTTTTTTGGAAACATGTTCTTAATAAGTGTATGTGTAATCAAAATAGTGACTTTCAAATCCCTAGCGACAAAAATAAAAATGAATGAACATTTGATAATTATGATCAGCACTGAATTTGGTTAAAAATATGTAAGTAATTGAAAGTGGAACAAAAATATTAACATAGCCTATAATATCTTTATTACAGTATTTTTAGATGAGGAAATTGTTGTCGTTAGTGTTTTCAAAGTAACGTTTTTAAAAAGGGATTCACAAGGGTTAAGCTTCAACTTAAAAGCCTCTGGGGCAGAGTCCTGCATGGGTCCAGTTTTGCAAATCTGCACCCACCCGAACCCTCGCAGCTCAGTAGCTACCGCGAACCGACCGTTACATGCAATTATCTTCAAGTCAAATCTGGACCCGACCCGTTGATATAAGACCCACGACCCGACCCGTTGTGAATTTGGGGGGGGGGCTAGTGGAGTACTTCGTGACCACAGAGTGTGAACGTTGTGATCAGCTGTTTTAGCGCAGTTCTCCAGTGAAGGGGGGGAGTCTCCCTCCGCAGCCGGTTGGCGTAGTTTTGGCACGTTGTACAGACCGACGTTAACAGCAGCCCTGTCTGTGCACACGGAGACCGACTCTGTCGTCCGGTGATCTAACCGCCTTCTGGAAAAGCTTCACAAGTACGTCGGTACGCAAATGTGCTTTGTGACACAAGTGACCGTCCGCAATTCAGATTGTTGCCGCGCATGCGTACCTGCGTACCAGTTATGTGCACCCCTGGATATAGGCCTACATGTATGTTTTGCCCGTTACACAACTATTTTGCGGGTTATCCGCCGGGTATCCGAGGCAGGACTCTGCTCTGGGGCTCATCAAAGTTATTTTTTAACAGTACCTGCTTGAAGCACCTCAGTCCGGACTCCACGTCGGTCTTCACCCCAGATGACCCTCAACCACTTAAGATGCTCTTTCTTATTACTTTTAAACACTGTAAGTGTAACTGAGGACCACTGTTCAGTTGTAACATTAACTTCACTAAAACCATGAGAAATTAAAGACCTGGTGATGAAATCTCTACCTCCTGCTTGTTGCCAGAGGTCTAAAGCTTTCTTTGTCTTGCCTTTTTTGAAGCGCACCATTTTTAGATCAACAATGTGATCTGGTTTCTAAAATGTCTTCTTCTCTTCTTTCTTCTTCTTCTTCTTCTTCTTCTTCTTCTTCTTCTTCTTCTTCTTCTTCTTCTTCTTCTCTTCTTCTTCTTCTTCTTTCTTCTTTCGATTTTTGGCGTATTGCAAACAACTTTAAAGGTGCATACCGCCACCTGTACATGAGTGTGAATCACCATATCATTCCATGTCTTAACTCATGGAAGTATCTATGATCCAATAATTAATATAAAATATTTAAAGTTTTAAAATGAAATCTGCATTTGGGTCCTGCTTCCTGCACACCGTAACAGTTTAAGGTAAAGTTGTGCTCAACACATTTAAATATACATTTATTTTATAGGTCACTCAGCTAAATTGTTCAGTGTGTATATGTTATAGTAGAGTAGACATAATCTAATACTAGCGAAGTTACAAAGGTGCTTAAAGGGACTCAAGATAATACAAAGGGTACATTGGTAAAATATAAACAGGATAATTAAGAGAAATAAGACAATGTATTGGTCCATGTATTCCTCATTGTAAATTAGATTTATGAGTTAACGAACTCAGGGCCCTTCCCTGATTAAACTAGGGAATAACTGGGCTACATATGCAAATAATTATTTATTATATTTTTGTATTTATTCTTATAGTGATGTTTTTTTAATGGCGTATGATGCCTTTAGTTAGTGTCTCACCATTGCTGGTACTTTATCTTAACCTATACTATTTAAATATATTGTATTTGACTTAGAGGTGTTTAGTAGTTGTAGTTCAAACACTTTTTTATAAATTACCAAATAATCTCGAATCAAGGTGCATTTAGTAGCTCTTTATGGTTTTATTCATATATAATGGGTTTTTGTTGTTGCTGTTTTAAGGTCAAATGTTAAATGAACGCCAAAATGGACCAGATATCTTAACATTTAAGAATATCTCCAAAGTAAGTGTGTACTGTCTGTGTGGAACTGAGGGTCACTGTAGTCTTGTTTCAATGGAGCCTCCCAACACTGTATTACAATGAGAAAATGTATCTTAAAGAAGGCAACAGTTAATAATAATAAAAGAGAAAATACTTGACAACACTTAGCCAATTGTATAGTTTAAAATTAAGCTTAAATGTGATGTAATTGAGACTGTAAATATGGAATTGATTTAATTAAAATGTGTATTCAAATAGTCATGCCAAGACTTGAAACTAACTTTGTGTGTGGTAAATTATCACAGTAAACATAGTGTCAAAGTTATATTATTAAATCATTGTACAAGCAAGTGTCAAGGTTTTTTATTATATGACAAAAATGTGCCCAAGACATGCATGCAAGGGTTCTTAAAGTGAAATAGGTTGCTCACTATATATTGAAAACTTATATTATTGTAAATAAAATCAAAAGCTGACATCAGTTAGACAAAATGTGGAAAAGCAGCTCTCGGTACATGTCATGTTACTTCCCGCATTGCGCAGTGCTGCAAACATATTGAGAATTGGTCCATGGTGAATTGTAAAGATGCACTCAGTGCGCTCGCAGCCACAGATGCTGCCTGTCCACATGGCTGAGGAACTACAATACAGAGATTATAAAACACTTTGAATGGAGCCATTTTTCTCTGTTGGTTTGAATGGGTTTTAAGAATGTCTGTATGAGTGAAAGGCTGATAATATATGTGAAGAGCACTCATTTATTTGAATGCCATTTATGTTGCTTTTTCTTATTGGTATTACTCCTATTTATGTGTTTTAAAATGATGTATTTTTAGTAGTTTTTCCGCTGGTAATACATGGGATTGCACCTTGGGTATTTAGGTATTAACTGACTGTAACAATTTAAAAAAAAAAAAATCAAACATAACCCAACCTGGCTTTAATTAAGGTGTTGTTCCCTTTTAATAGTATCACACAGTAGGACCCTAACAGCATTTCTGCAACTGTTGTAAATTGTAAGTCAGATTTTTCACCCAGCAAATGTTCTTGTTACTTCAATATGATACTGAGATGTTATTTTATGTTCCATTAAAAAAAAAACTGCTCACTGCATCCTAAATGGGGTCATGCGGAATACAGCAATAGTAGGCCTTGTTTAAATTCGAAATTCAAAGAATGCTGAAAGACGTTTTATGTGCACTTTAAAGGTCCCATGGCATGGCCATTTCTACTGATCATAATTCCATTGTTGAGGTATCTAGAATGATTTATATTGTGCAATTTTCCAAACTCACATTGGTTTCTCATACAGCATCTCTGTATAGTATGTAGTTATTCACTCTCTGTCCTAAACGGCTTGTTGGAGCTCCTGCCCCCACCCTCCCTGTGAGCCAAGTGGCGTCTGCGAGACAGCAAGCCCAAGCGCGCGCACACACACACACACCCGCAGCCTCGTCGCGTCCGCCGACTCAGGGAGGAAAAATCGGCGGAGCTGCAGCTGAGAACGTAACATAACGGCTCCGCGGACGTACAAGGCTCCGCGGACGTAACGTAACGGCTCCACGGATTGGTCCATTTGGACCAATGGGTCCATTGGGTATGGGCAAGTCACTGTACCCAGGAAGAAAAATAAATCTCCAACGAGGCGTTCTGGGGCAGCATAGACAGGTCTTTTCTGTGTTAGAGTTTTACTCGCTACAGGGTACTTTGAGGGTTTGTGACTCTGCAGACCGTTTACATGCATAAAAACCTTCATAACACACAAGGGGACGGGTAATAACCAGAAAAGCATGACATGGGACCTTTTAAAGAGACTCTCTATTGAAAGTAATAAGCCTCCTTTACTTCAGTAACATAGTGACATCACCATGTAACACTTGCGCTCTATTGGCTAGCGCTCTAACACATTGTGCGTAATTTGATAATGGGGCGGGACGCCTTTAAGCCGTTGACCAATCACAATAGAGCCGGCCAACTAACCAATCACAGAGACGGGGCTCTGGTTTCAGACAGAGGGTGAAAAGAGGTGCTGCAGCACAGGCAGTATGAGACAAATAAAGAGCTTTTTGAACATTATGGAGAAATGTCCCAGTAGAGACACTACATACAAATATGAACCTGAAAAAATTATAATGTGCACAAAGTCAATATTGTTTGCATAGAGAGTCTAAGTAAGCAGTGAGTGATGGACAGAGAAAAGGAACAAATTACGCAGCAGATATGGAAGGGAGGGAGAGAGGGAGGAGGGAGGGAGGGAGAGGAGAGATTGATGTGTTATGCGCAGTCAGTGTTGCTGCAGTAGCAATAAGATTAGATAATAGGTTTGGATCAGCAGCACACAGCCTGCTTAACACCATTAGGAGAAATAGCCTGAGAAAGTTTCACTGCCTGCTGAATGTAGACCTGTCTGGAACTCCTTTTTATCCGCATGTCTAACCCTGTAGACCCTAAATAACACATTGTACTGGCCTACTGGATACGAAAACCCACCTGTATTATGAAATGTATCTATTCTTTTAACCTTTTATTTCTATGATGAGTAGGTGGTTCTGGCGGGCGGACAGCCCGGGGGCAAAGCAGAAGCCGAGAAGGGGGACTCGGGTGGACGGCCCGGGGGCAAGGTTAGAGGCCAAAAAGGGGCACTCGTGTGGCCTCGTCGGCGTACATTAGGGGGCCGACTCGAGGGAGAGGCACGGCTGGGAAAGTCAGGGGGCCGGGCTCGAGGGTGAAGGCATCGGCTGGGAAAGTCAGGGGGCCGGGCTCAAGGGCGAAGGGTTAGGATCTGGTGGCAGCGGGACCTCTGACCTGAACAGGATTCGGAGCTGGCTGGACCTCCAATGGAACAGTGTTAGCGGGACCCCCGGCAGGACAGGTGTCGGCGGGACCCCAACAGGTCAGGGCACGGAGTTGGCAGGACTCCCAGCAGAACCCCAACGAAACAGGACAAGGAGTTGGCAGGACCCCGGCGAGACAGGTGACCCCCAACAGAACAGGACACAGAGTTGGAAGGACCCCCAGCGGAACCCCCAGCGGAACCCCCAGCGGAACCCCCAACGGACCAGGACATGGGGTTGGCAGGACCCCCGACGAAACAGGTGTCGGCTGGACCCCCAACGGAACAGGAATGGGTTGGCATGACCCCCGGCAGAACAGTAGTTGGCGGGACCCCCAACAGGACAGGACACGGAATTGGCAGGACCCTCAGCGGAACCCCCAACGAAACAGGACAAGGAGTTGGCAGGACCCCCCTGCGAAACAGGTGACGGCGGGACCCCCAACGGCACACGGAGAGCTGGAGTGGGCCGGAGAGCCGGAACGTGAGCCAGAACCATAGCTGCTGGGGCCGGTACTGGATAAGAACCATGGCAGCTGGGTCTCGAGGTTTAAAGCAGGCGTGCAGTTTATCGGGAGGAGTCACAAAGTCCCTTAAAAATTCAGGCAGTGAGCTCCTTTTCCAGGGCTTATCTGCAACTTCCCGGCGTGCTCTTGAAAGAGCAGCCTCCTGAGCCTCTTTACCATGAGCCCTCATCCACTCTCCAAGAAACATAAAAGTTTGCAGGATAATTTGCCAACCTCATCCTCAAAAAAATACTGCTAGGTCCATCTTTGGTGAGATCCTTCTGTCAGGGTAGAGCGAAGCAGGCAGGACCCAAATGCAGATTTCACAGAAAATACCTTTTATTTCAAGGTTAAACAGTAACAAACAGAACTCTTCCCCGTGAACACAGTCAAAGACAAACAAGGATCCACAAAGACTAACAGGAAAAAACGAACCTAAATGCACACAGGACTAATCAAAGAAACAAGAGACAGGTGAGGAGGGAAGAGAAAACACAGGTGTTCACAAGGTGAACACAATCAAGAAATCAGGTAGGAGGGAACACACAGACAGGAAACCAAAGACAGATCTAGACAAACACAGACAGATCGTGACAGGCAGTGCCGATTCTAGAGTCTGTGGGCCCTAGGCAAACATTCACTGGGTGCCCCTCAAACCACGCACAGCGTTGGGGGTTTCCCGACATGTCGTTGCAGTAAATTAAAGGGTGTTTCATGTTGTTGTTGCTGGACC